CACGCGTGGCGCTGCATGGCGCCGCTTAGGCAGCTCAATGCGTAACCGTGGCGGGGCGTGGCAGCGCTCACTCACCCTGCTTCATTGCAATGCAATCTCCACATATCAGGCAGCGGCGCGGTGCGCTTTCCCGCTTTGGCCCGGCCCCGTAACTAGCACGGCGGCGGCGCTGGCCGATGGATGCAGCGAATACGTATCGCACATCTGCGCGCCAGGCGGCAGGGGGGCTTTCGGATAGCTTTCCGATCGTTGCACGCCACGACGCGCCGCCGCGAGAGCCGAGGCTTGCATGCGCGCGGGCTGTTTGAGGAGGCGAGCGGGGGGCATCTGCAGCGCGGCGGCGGCGCCAGCATCCTGGCTATGGACCACGACCGGAAGTGATCCAGTTGTCCGGGTTCCGGTCCGGTCCCGCGCTTCCGCTGTCACACGCGTCGGTGAGTTGCGCGCCATACTATTCCCGGCGCGGCCATGCTGCTCTCGCGCTGGATTTTTGTTCGTGTCGTTCGTCTCTTTTCTTTTTGGCAGAGCAGTCAGTTCAGTCCCGAGCCGGCGCGATCGAGTAATCGCACCACCGCCTTCCCAAATTGGGTAAATAAGCGAACCCAAGGCCTCGCCTACCTCACGGCACGCCGCCGCCCGGGCCAGAGACTGTATGCGCAACAAAACGCGTGATTCTGCACTCGGCCACGACGAGCACAAACCGATGTAGAGATCGTACAAGTACGCGTGTACACACCTCAACATTCCTATATGCTAGGGCACAAAAAGATACCCGTAAGAAATTATAGTGCGAAATGACCCCCCTAGTAAAAAATAAATTGTGGGGCATTGAACACATGAAAATGAATGGGAAAAGAGACTCACAAAGTGAAGTTCGCCGTCGTCACACACTTCTTTTCAATCACATAAAATGGCCACGCATTCAGCACGCACTTGTCGGGGGGTGTCCCGCACACACACACACACACACTTCGAGTGGACAAATCCAGCTGCCAGACACGACGCGGTTTGAACTCGTCATACTCGCCGCGATCCTCATCCATCCGCCGATACAGAGAGTGCAAAACAACAAGGGCGCATTGTTCTGTCGCGGGTGTGGGAAAGGACTTTGGGAAGGGTCCCCCGTCATTACCATCGTCCTTCGTCCTGCCGCCGGAGCCTCGGCTTTATGGACCACATTCCTCGAGTAGAGCGGCCGTGCCGCGTCACCGCGCAGCACAGCGCACCCGCCTTTCAATTTACACCTTATTTCGTCCGCGACGCCGCGCGAAGGAGGAGCAGCACAATGCCGCCCGCAGGGCCTCGCGGGACAAACACGGTGACTTCCCCCCGACCCGAACGCTCCGCTCCGCCTCGCCCCGCCCCGCCCCGCCCCGCCTTCATGGTCCGCTATTTCTCCTCTCCTTAGATTCGGACACAAGTTTACTTTTCGACACGACGAGAGCTTCCCCCCCCCCCTTTCCCAACGGCTCAACGCGCGCGCGCCCGCACCAAAAAGAAAACGTTTTGCGCAATGCTCGGCTGCTCCAGCTCGCGGTAAAAGAAAAGAAGCAAACATTTAAGTATACTTTTCTTTATTCGCCGCGGGGAGCGGGTAAGATCACATATCGCCCGCATACTGATCGTTACCACATCATCTTTTCTCCGCGGAATTTTATTTTTAAGAATTCTTGGAAGCGGGCACACGCGCTCACACACGCTCACTACTCACTTTCTTTCGGCCCCAACCGCAAGAGTCGAGCTAAATGCCACCGGCGGGGCCCGCACTGGCCCGCACCTGGTCGCGCCACGTGCAGCCGGCAGCGGCAGCCAGCACAGCGACACAAATGCTTGGGCCGCCTGAGCCGATTTCTTCCCAGCACCGCGCCAATACGTGGCAAACGCACGCACGCGAAATCCAACACCCGGCGAACCAGACAAAACTGCCTCACAAAAATTCCATCCTCGATTTACTGAATGGCCACAGAACACGGGCCGGGCCGGGGGACTGCGGAGGTTTGCCTACCCTGGGCACCAGCATGGCACCTACAACCTACAACCGCCTCCTACGACGGACGGAGCGAGTAGGCAAACCCGCATACTGTCCTGTCTTTGTCGTGTCGCCCTGACGGAAGGTACGATACGAAGCCGTGTCAACTGCATGGGATGGGTTCCATTCATTTGGACGTAAGGTTGCTCTAAAAGCCCCTAATCCGGGCCCTTATCCGTTGGTTGCAGTGCTTCAACTGAAGTAATTTGATGGCTCCGTCGTAATGAAACATGACAATCCCTTGTCAGCTAGAAAGAATTTGCCATACAAAAGCTTGCAAAAGTAGAGTAACTGTCTTTTAGCAGTGCACGTACGGTGACTACGCGTAGACGTGAAACCGGATAAGTAGCTGCTCCCCCCCCCCCACAGGGTCGCTGCTGCAGCGCTGCAGTTCCGCCCCTGTGTCCCTAGGCCCGCGGTGTGGCATGGCACACTCGTGAAGCCCGCTTGCCAAGCGTACAGGAAGGAACTTGCGTCATCAGTCGCAATGCACCCGCCCGGGGGGGCCGGGCCGGGCCCGCGGCAGGGGCGGCGGGACCCCAACTGGAGCAGACGAACAGCAACCCACCTGTTTTCTTCATCTCCGCACCCGACGCTCATTTGCCTTCACCTTTTTGTTTGTTTCCCACACTAAACGCCGACCATACCGCTCGACACGCTACCATATCACCACCGCCTCCAGACACAATAACACACATTACACCGCCAGCTACAGCAGCAGCAGCAGCAGCAGCAGCAGCACCGTAGATACCTTTCTCCAGCACCACACAGTGTCACGACGAAAACACGTTACAAATAAAGCCATACGGCAGGAACTCGACTCGTGTCACGGTCCGCTCCGCGCCCACGCAGACACGCACGCACGCACGCGCTACAATGCACGCCAAAACGTGCCCGAGGCGTCGTTGTAAACTCACTCACACAGAGAGACGCGCGCGCTTTTGTCACGCTATTCGCCTCTCGTTTCAGTCCAGACTTTCAGCCCCCCCCCCCTCCACCACAACATCCAGCCATAACCACCCCCTCCTGCCCCTGCTCCTTAGCTGACGCGCGCGGTGTCATCTGAGGTGCAGCCGGCCCTCTCCCCGCCCCTGCAGCAGCTAGACAGAGACACAAAAAAGAAATAGGGACGGGGGGGGGGGGGGCAGGAGAGCCCCAAATAAAGTGTCACCGCGTGCGCGCCTGCTTCTCGTCCGGCCCGGCGACGACGGCGCCGACGTGCGCGGCGACAACGCGGCGACGTCTTGTAGGGCGGACACGCGACGACCCCTCCGCGGCTGGGTGAGCGCTTCTTCTTGTCTGTCGGCGCGGGCAGGCCGTTGCACCGACTCCACGCGGATTCAAGAAGCGCTGGGATCATTTCGTTTTTCAATTACGCCTCCCGATGGGACTTCCCTGCCCCGCCACGCCACGCCGCGCCCGTGGAGCCTCCTCTGCGTGGTTGATGGTCCGGACGATAACGCCCGAGAGAAGAAGGAGGCGCTGTTGTGCGAGAGAGACGCACGACAGTATAAGCCTTTCTCTCGCTCCCTGGCCGTCCTTTCGCACACCCTACTCCACTCCGCGACATCGCGACCAGCACCATAGCATCCGCAGCAGCGAAGGGCACCGCGGTTGCCGGATGCGTGTGAAAGATAATAATAGAAACTAACATAAGAAAAACACTATTATCTTTGATCTCTGTGGTTAAATCATTTTCGCTATGATATTGCACACAAACTTTCTTCTCACTCTGAAAATCGTGCAATAGAGCAAGAGCAGTCCCCCTCCCCTGTTTCACAAATTCCTACACTCTGTAAACGTATAACAGAGCAGTTATACTTGTTGAAACTGTGCTCTCCTCATGGATATTCAGAGTACGCGACGCGCGGCGCGGAGAGTATAGCTAGCTAGCAGTATAGAGCCCCCCTGGCCGCTACATACATTGGCGCTCTCGCGTGTCACGGGCTGGCGTGGCCAAATATCTTGCTCGCGAGCCGGGCTTAACGGCCCCAGTCCTCGGGAAGCGAGCGCGCAGGACCTGCGCAGGACCCGGCAGGACTCCCGGGAGCGATGATATGAATTATTGACTCGTGCTGGAAGACGGGTGTGAGAATGCGTGAATAGGTACGTACATGCATGCGCGTAGTAAAAAGGAATGGGAAAAGGGGAGCTACTACTGTGTCCCCGGGGAAAATGGACGGGAAACGGCAAACTTCGTACGCAACAAAACATTCTAAAGAGAGTCCGTAATAACTAGATATTCCTTTGGCGTGGTTTGGCTCATACTCACGCATATCTTTTATCGAGTTTTGACAATTTCCTGGTTTCATTATGACCCCCCCCCACCTTTTCCCCTCTATCGCTCTGGTGGCAAAGACCTTGGTGGGCTCATATCAAAGTCACGCGCATTTCGGGCAGTCGGCCGCGAATTATACTGTGCGGCGACCGCGAGGTCCGTGCGATAATCGGCTGTTTATTTCAATATTTGGTACGATATCATATCTCGATATATGGAAGCGTTTATGGATCGATATAGTGCCGATATCGACCTCTTGGTAAAAAATATCGTCACTACGCCATCGATTACTACGCTATAACTTCGCGATGAATCGTGTTTCAAAATATTACAATATGTACTATGTATTTCTTGATATTGTCGGCACTCTGCCAATATCGCACCGCTTTGTCGATGTCTGGATATCGCGCAGCCCTGGCGCCTCCCGGGAGGCAGCGGCGGCCGCCGCGGCGGGACAACACAACAGGTGAAGTGAAGCGGCGGGAGTGCACCGCCTCCTACCTGCCAGGTGTAGACGTACCTCGGACGCACCCCTTCGGTCGAGGGTGAGCGGGGGAGGGAGGGACTTGGACTCGCAGCGGAGGAGAAGGAAAGGGGAAGTCCCACATCACGACATATCGCTCTGCGGACGCGCCACTGGTCGTTTGCAGGACACGAGGAAGAACGGCGACATCGTTATCTCATCGTACTCACCGAGAGGTTGTTGAAGTGTTAATCCTCTCTGTCGGATCCGGCAATGGGGTCGTTTAGTCCACGCCCTCTCGAGCTGCTTGTGACCACTCTCATACGAGCACCGGGGAGGGAACCGGTCACTCAGCTGCGGCAGTCCGCATGTCCACGAGGACGCGCGCGTCGGGAGCGCGTGGAAGTCCCTCGAGAGCGTCCCGGCGAGCCTCTCTCTGCGCTCGAGCCCGGAGCGCGGCGGACTGACTCGCGCGGCAGGCTGGCTGGTGCTGGACTGACTGGCGCTCGGCTCCCGCGCTGGGCCGGGCCCCCGGGCCGCGGCGGGCGCGCCACTAGAAGGGCTGCGTCTGGAAAACGCCTCGTGTGCGCTTGTGCCCTTCTGTCTCCGACTTGACCTGCCGTACTTATGGGAAAGTGTGAGGGAGGGGAGAGGGAGGGACAATGACAGGGCCCGTCATTTTACTTCGTTGACACATCGAGGCCACTTTACTTAGACGACACCTGACGTCCATACCCGTCGGTCCGTCGCCCGTCAACGACATTCTCTCCATGCAACTAGGCTGCAGCATGTGTCGCATGTGTGTCCGGTCCGTCCTACCGATACGTATACGGGGTTGCGCAGTGCGCCTTGGAGTCAACTTGAAACCCCCTTTCTATCGTGCAAATTATCCACGGGGCATCTTAGAAATTGCCAGTAGCGGTTTTAATGTATGAATGTAGACAATCAACTCCTACCCTATGTGTCCCTCCCATCGGACACGTCCGTCTGGCCGGCCTAAATAAACCGCAAATCGCCCTTACAAATTGTTTGCCGGAAGAAGTCGTGTACGACGAGTATCGCCGCCAGGTGGACAAAAAACTTGGATCCCCCCCCC